TATATGCCTGAAAGTGCCAAATGCAAGTGCCTTGAAGAGAAATTATCGAGAATATGCAGACTGTTGTAAGTCACACAAGCAAAGAAAACACATACTGTTTTGTGATTTGCCAAATTTGATCCCTTTTAAGGTAGCCACTCATAGAGTTGAACATAAACACACAGCAGGTTGCTGAAACAAGTGTATTTGCAAGGACATATTTAGTGGGTTGATTTCTGGCCTGCTTGAAGCACTCCATTCAAAGAAGATAAGAAAAACAACAGTGTTCCTGGAAATAGAAAAAGTGAATAAAATGATGTCAGCTTAAAGAAAGATCAGGTTTTTTTTAATTTTTAATGTTTATTTTTTGAGAAAGAGACAACACGAGTGGGAAAAGGGTAGAGAGAGAAGGAGAGAGAGAATCCCAAGCAGACGCCACACCATCAGCACAGAGCCGGATGTGGGCTTGAACTTACAAACCACGAGATCATGACCTGGACTGACATCAAGAGTTGGATGCTTAACCGACTGAGCGACCCAGGCGCCCTAAAAGTTCAGTTTAAGTTAATCTATGGCTAGAACTATTAAAGAGTTGTTAATATTCAAAGAACATTATTTTTTGTCACAATATTCATAATATTTCCCACTATCTAAAATACTTGGCTTTTATGGGTTTGCTTCTAAATAAATCATAGTTTAAAATGCATTATAAATCTGTAGTGGCATATTAACATACATTAATAGAAACCAAAAGGCAAAACCTCAGCCCTGACTAAATACAATTTTTGCCTACTCCACTATCTGCAACCCACGGGACTAAAACAGACTAGAGAAAACCAAACATCCATGCCGGAAACTCCCCAGGCTGGCGCCTCCACACCTAGCCGTACCCCTGCATCATGCACCTGTACTCCGCCTTTTCCTGTGTGTTCTCCAATCCAAGGCCAAGCCATCCGCTTAGGCACCAGATCCCAACCCTTTCACCAACATCGCTCCAGTATTCTTCCTGCACCACCTAGTTTTCCCCATTTACTGACTGACTTCTAGGAGCATACGAACCTCCTACTACCGTTCCCATCTTAAAAGAAAATTAAAAATCTCTTAACCCCTCTCCCCCCTTGTTGGGGAAGAAAAATTTTACTCTACCCTTTAAGATTCTTTTGGGTGGTATACGAATGTTAAGTTAACATGAAACAGATTAAGGGCGGGGGTGGGGGGGGCTGGAATTAGTTCATATGTACAGAGGCCTCATAGATATGGGACCTAAGAAATGACCAAGACAGGCAGTTTATACTTCTTAGACAAAGAAACATAAATTTATGAAGAATTCACAGCACAAAGAAAACTTGTGCTTGGGAATCGTCAGTTAGTAAGGAATCTAAACAGAAGTGGGCTGAGGTAGTAAATTAGCAAAAGTAACAAGGTTTGTTTACGTAGGCTTCTTCAGCCTGAATTTCCTGTCCCTCATGATAAGGATGTCTCTCTTCCTCCTGATGCAGGGAGGATACCTTTCACATGGGAGATTTATGACCTGCTTTCTAGAGACAGAAAAGGGTCAGACTGTCTTTGTTACACTGGCTGTTTCTTAAATAACCTTAATTTAAAAAAGCATCTTGCCGTTGTGGCATATTTGGGGGCATCCTGCCCTGGGCTCCCACAGTCTCCAGTTGACTTCTCATTCTTTGCTTTCCTTTATTTATAATAAAACTCCTCCAACATAGTACTGTCTCTGACTCTTTTCCTCTTTCTTAACCACTCCAGTCAGCCTTTGTCCCTACTATTCGGTGTCCCTACTACTGCCAATGTCCTGCACAGCCAATGCTATAGCCAACTGTCAGCTATCCCACTTGACTTATTAACTGTCTCTGACACAGACAATCTCAAGTCCTCCCTTGAAACACTCTTTCCCCTCGGCTTCCAGAACCTCATACTCTCCTAGTTTTCTTCCTGTGTCACTGGCTCTTCCTTCTCAGCGTCCAGTGTGAGTTCCTCCTCAGCTTCCTGACCGCCTAAAACCAAAGTGCCCCAGGGTTCAAATCTCAACCTCTTCTTCTCTATCCTCACCTTCTCCACTGGTGACAGCATCGAAGCCAAATGGACATCTCCAGCCTAGCCCTCTCCCCTCAAGTCTAGACTAGTATATCCAAATCCCCATTCAGCATCTCAATTTATTTTTTTAATGTTTTATTTATTTCTGAGAGAGACAGAGAGAGAGAGAGAGCATGAGCAGGGGAGGATCAGAGAGAGAGGGAGACACAGAATCTGAAGCAGGCTCCACGCTCTGAGCTGGCTGTCAGCACAGAGCCCGACACAGGGCTCGAACCCACGAACTGCGAGATCATGACCTGCTGAACCGACTGAGCCTCCTAGGCTCCCCGTCAGCATCTCAATTTAAATATGTATAAGGAACGCTGAGTGCAGCAAGCCCCAAATCGAACACTTGTCTTCCAGATCCAAACCTGTTTCTCCTAAATTTTCTCCATCTCAATATATGGCAACTCATCCTTCCTGTTGCTCAGGCCAAAAACCACAGGGCTAGACTTGCCTTCCTCCTTTTTCACATACCCCGTCTTCTCTCTATGGGCAAATGCTATCATCTCTACCTTCAAAATAGATTCGGAATCTGACCACTTCTCATTGCTCAGCTAATGTCGCTCTGGTTCAAGCCTCAATTCCTGGATTATTTAATAACCTCTAAATTAGTCTCTCTGCTTCCACTCTTGCTCCATACAGTCCATACTAAGGTGGTGGGCATTTTCTGCTCAAATCCTTCACAATGGCTCCCAAAGTAAATACCCAACTCCTTTCAATGGGCCGCCATCTACCTCCTTTTCTTCTCTGCCTCCATCTCCTGTGTCTGACTCGCTTGTTCACTCTAAGCTAGTCGCACCCACCTCCTTACTGTTCTCTCTGCTTGGAGCTTCCTTCCTCCAGATTTTTACATGGTGTTTCCATCACCTACTTGTAGACTTTGCTCAAGTGTCATCTTCTCTGGGAGGCCTTCTCCAGACCACTGTTTGTCGCTACTACCCTTCCCAGGTTTTCAGCTGGGTCTCTGTAACAGAAGACAGATTGACAAGGAAACACACACACACACACACACACACACACACACACACACACACACACACAAATTAGCCTTCATAAAGAAATGAAGACCCAACCCAAAGCAAGGTTAAGCCTGAGTGTTTTTTACTCTGAGTTTGAGGAAGACTGGTAGGAGAAAGGGTTCCAGCTAAGGGTGGTAAACTGGGGCAACTTTCCAACAGCTGTTTGTTTGGATTCCTTTGAGTCCTGGTGTCGTCAGAGGTAAGGATGTTACTTTCTTCCAGGTAAGGGGCCACCTCTCCCAAGAGGGCTTATGACTTGCTTCCGGGGTGGGGGCGGGGGGGTATCAGAGAGTTCTTCCAGCACCTGCCATTTCTCAAATTCCTTCAGCTTACACTATTCAGTATACCGAGGTGTCATTTCTGAGGTGGTGTGTCTGGAACCCAGCCACTACCCTGTTTAAAATTCCAGCTCACAGCCCCTGAATCTTCCCCACCCAACAATCATGTTCCTCTTCCACCTAATAAATTATTTTACTTATGTTTTTTAGTTGCCTTCCCCCAACCCAAATGTCAACTCTATACGAGCAAGGCTTTTTTTTTTTTTTAATGTGTTATTCACAGCCATATCTCTAGCACCTAGAACAGCGTCTGCCACAGTATTCCTCCTGCATCACCTAGTTTTCCCCATTTACTGACTTATTTCTATAAGCATACAAACACACTATGACTGTTCCCATCTTAAAAGAAAATTAAAACTCTCTTAATCACCCTTCCCCCTTGTTGGGGAAGAAAAACTTACAAAATTTACAAAATCTACAAAGTTAACCATGGGCCATGGTTAATGATGCAGACACATTTTATTATACACTATTATATCCTTGGTGCCCTGGGTATAGTTTCTCATTTAACTGTCACATCTATATAGTGGTTATTAAAATTTTTTTAATCTTTATTTTATTTTGGGGAGAGAAAGAGAGAGAGAGACAGAGTATGAGCAGGGGAGAGGCAGAGAGAGGGAGACACAGAATCTGAAGCAGGCTCCAGGCTCTGAGCTGTCAGCACACAGCCTGACACGGGGCCCAAACTCATGTACTTTGAGATCACGACCTGAGCCAAAGTCGACAGTCAACCAACTGGGCCACCCAGGCCCTCTGTAGCAGTTATTATTGTTACTATTTTGCAGATGAGAAGATCAAGCCACAAGGAGTTCAGTGACTACTGGTGTCATGTAGCCATAAACGACAGAATTAGTTTTCCAGCTCTAGTCTGTGTGGCCCCAAAGACACTCATTCACAGTATCGTAGCTCTGGTTTCAATTCCTCCCAGCAGAGGAGGAAACGGCAGGTCTTCGTGGGTCTGCCACCGACTGAGCCTACCGGAGGTCTGTAGTTCTCCGTAGCTCTGGGATGGGCTCTTCACGCACAGGGCTGTGGGAGGGTGAAGGGAGAGGATTTGGGGGTGCTATGTAAACGAATGCAGCACATGAAAAGGCATTAAAAATTAATTCGAAGAGGGAACCATCTGCTTCTTATCATCCCCCCTTTTCTCTTTTCTCACTTCCCCTTTCTCTCCCCTCCCCATCATTCTTTCTCTCCTTCCCCTCTGCTTTTTCAGTGGGGAACACACCGCACAAGCTACAACGCAGTAAGAACCGAGGGTCTGAATTGTGAAAACAAAACAAAGTTTAAGAGTCGACAAATACAAGCTACCCCAAAATTACTGAGAAAAGTGAAACGAACACCAGCTCAGAGCCAAATTCCAGGAAGATGCTGCATTTTGGATTTGCTTCACGTTTTCACATTTGTTGTCTTTTTAAAGCTTTGGTCATTAGTCTTCCGGTTCCTACTACAAAAAAGTAAATGCTGACTCGTGTCATTGGCCTAAGATACTACCGGAAATGGCATATTCTCGCCAGCAGCTGGCTCACAGGCGTAGAAGCACCCAGGGGTGAACTTATCTGCCTTCCAGCCGGGACTCTGGGCTCTCCAACCTGGCCCCTGATCTACAGCCGGAGAAAGGAGCCTGTCTAGGGAAGAGATCTAGAATCAACTGAGAGATACATTCTCAAATCACCAGTTACTGTAATGAGTAAGTACTTTCCAGTTTTCCCATTTTATTTTAAGCATTAATTAGGATCCTCATTTCTTGGGTACTTACTGTAGAAAGGAATCACCATCCTAACCCCCTTCACCCTCCCCCCACTTAACTGGACAGGCCTGAAGAGACAACTGTTATTTTGTTGTTGTTTTTTTTTAACATTTTTTTAAATTTTATTTATTTATTTTTTTTACAAATAGTTTATTGTCAAATTAGTTTCCACATAACACCCAGTGCTCGTCCCCACAAGTGCCCTCCTCCATGCCCATCCCTCCTCCCCNCGATCATGACCTGAGCCACAGTCAGTGCTCAACCAACTGAGCCACCCAGGGACCCTGCTTAAGGAATTCTGATTAATCTACCATAAGTAACCTACCTCAAATGGCATCTTCCTTGTATAACTTTCTTTGACTCATTCTTTATATTCTCAATGAAACAGAAACATAAATTATAACACTGAACTGCCATTAATTACGTGTGCATGTTCCAGGCCAACAACTTAAACCACGTAACCTGTGTAAATCCAATCTTATTTCAGTATATTTGTCTGCCTCCCTGAAAGCTGATTTGCAAAGGTCATCATTTGCTTTTATTGGAGGGTCCAGGAAGAGATGTGTTGGGTGATAGCTGTTCCCCAGGATTATAAATTAAGAAGTTGGAAAGCACTGGCTAATTCTTTTTTTTTTTTTTTTAATTTTTTTTATTATTATTTTTTTTTACAAATAGTTTATTGTCAAATTAGTTTCTACATAATACCCAGTGCTCTCGCTCAGCATAACACCCTCAAGGTCCATCCATGTTGCTACACATGGCCAGATTTCATTCTTTCTCCTTGCCATGTAGTATTCCATCGTATAGATAAACCACATCTTCTTGATCCATTCGTCCGTTGATGGACACTTAGGCTCCTTCCATGTTTTAGCTGTTGTAGAGAGTGCTGCTATGAACATTGGGGTCCATGTGCTCCTATGCCTCAGCATTTCTGTATCCCTTGGGTAAATTCCCAGCAGTGCTATTGCTGGGTCATAGGGGAGTTCTACTGTTAGTTTCCTGAGGAACCTCCACACTGTTTTCCAGAGGGGCTGCACCAGTTTACATTCCCACAAGACAACTGTTATTTTGTAACAAGAAAGATTTATGATTGATACACTACTATATCTCTAAAAATGTACAGTAAAAAGAAACAGCCAGTTGTGAACAGGAGAAAGGATGTGAAGCGTAGGCTGTCTGTGCAATCTTGTATGTTGTGGCTGACCACAAAGGCTTGGCATCAGTTTTGACTCCCAGCTCTGCTTTTTCATAAAATAGATGACCTTGGGCAGATGACTCATCTTCCAAACTTAATTTTCAAATGTGAAAAATGGAGAAAAATAAAATACCAATGTCATAGATAAGCAGGTAAAACTCTTCGTATACTGGTGGAGTGGACACTAAATGTTACTGAATAACACATGAAATTAGTGTTTCTCAGTAATAAATTAAGCCCTTCGTTCAACTGGAAAGCTCTCTTACCTCGTAAAAACCCACCCCTCGAACATGCAGATGTGGCTCAAGAATAACAACAATGAACGTTTGTAAAGTTTACAGAGCATTTCATCTGATTTCCACAATTAACCCTGAGAGCAGAGCATGTTGACTTGATTTTGTCACTGAGGGATAGAGGAGAAGCCCAAAGCCCAGCTGAACCTGGCAGTAGGAAGGGAAGCTCATGGGTCCAAACTCGGAACTGAAGGGAGAAAAACAGGACTTGGAAAAGGCCAGCACCAGAGTGAGTTTGCGCGTTCCATTCTCCAGGTGAGCTTCTCTCCTCTTGGATCTCGTCCCTCTTCCCGTTCCAAGCCACGCAGCTTGAAACTGGCGAAATCCTCAGTCCCGCTGCTGCCAACACACAGAGCGGTGGGAACACGGGTCTTCCAGATCCTTCTACAGCATAGTGTGGATAGGGAGCAAGGCGGACAAGAGACTGACCCTTAGAATCCCATGTTTTAATTCAACACCTTTTTTCCCCCATAGAAACACTAATGCATTTAGTATTCAGATACATTGTTAATTGTAGCAGCAATAATAAAAGAATATCCAATGTTAAAGTTCTTTCTGGGACCCTGGGGTGGCTCTGTCATGGAAGCATCTGACTTGATTTCAGCTCATGTCATGATCTCATGGTTTATAAGTTCGAGCCCTACGTTGGGAGCCTGCTTAGGATTCTCTCCCTGTCTCTTTGCCTCTTCTTCACTTGCTCTCTCTTTCTCTCCAAAAAAAAAAAAAAGGAATTAAAAGCTATTTCCTGTGATCTCCTTAGAGGAGCACTAGAGGCCACTTCTCCCATTTGAATGCTGAAAACACAGAGATGAAGTGAGCTAAGAGGTGAGAAACCCCAACCTGCTGACTCGGCCTAATGCTCAGATCACTGGTTAAAAGGGCTCTTGTGGCCGGCCATTCCTGGAGACAGAATCTTCAGAATTCAGGCTGTTCATCCATTGAAAGCAACTTAAGTCTTTATTGATACTCCCCATCACCCTTCCTTTCCAACCACGGGAACTTTTTATTCAACTCTTGGTTAGAATCTGGAGTAGTCAGCGTAAGTATAAAAAAATTTCGAAGCACAAACAGAGCTTTGCACAGCATTGATTTCTCCACTGACCCATTAGGAGAAGAAGTGAATTCTCAGTGATGAAAGCTGAACTAAGTTAACTTCATCCCTGCTCTGTTTCCTCATGGAAAAATTTAAAGCTGTGTACAAAACACTGCTCTGTTTTGTTTTTCAACAGAGAATAGAAAGGAAAACGGTACACAAATATTGTTTTTCTAGATAAGACTATTTTGTTCCTCTTAATTTCAACAAATATTTATAGCTGGGGTTAAAAGCTCAGGCTTTGGAGACGTTATTTCCTCCTAAGAAACAGAACAGTATCTTAGGCTTATCTAATCAATCAGAAGATTCATTGGCAATGACAGACCAGTTCTGCCTTTTCCTAGCTGAACAACCTTGGGTGATTTACAGAACCTCTCCAGTACCCAAGAAATGAGGATCCTAATTAATGCTTAAAATAAAATGGGAAAACTGGAAAGTACTTACTCATTACAGTAACTGGTGATTTGAGAATGTATCTCTCAGTTAATTCTATAGATACATTCACTCATAGAATGAAGATAATAATAGATCCTACCTCATGAGGAGCCCACGCAGTAACTTGTCAATGAATGCTGACCATTACGCAGAGGGATAGAAGGGTGGGCGGAGACCCACTTCTGCTCTCCAGGACTAGAATATACTGGGGTAGTTAATTATAGCACAAAATAACCAAGGGCTAAGTCAGGGCATCTATCCAAAGGAGGAGAGATTTTTCCATCTGGGGAAAAAAGGGAGGCTTTCAGACAGGACTGCGTTTGAAACTGGATCTTAAGGCAGAAACAATTTCGGTAGAGGGGGCGCCTGGGTGGCTCAGTCAGTTAAGCGTCCGACTTCAGCTCAGGTCATGATCTCATGGCTCATGGGTTCGAGCCCCGCGTTGGTCTCTGTGCTGACAGCTCAGAGTGTGGAGCCTGCTTCAGATTCTGTCTCCCTCTTTCTCTCTCTGCCCCTCCCCTTTCACGTTCTGTCTCTCTCTTTCAAAAGTAAATAATAATAAACGTTAAAAAAGTTTTAAAAAAAGAATTTCAGTAGAGGAAGGGATTAGGGAGCACTGATGCTGACCCACAGAGCAAACATGAAGAGGTGAGAGAAAGCTAAAAAACAAAGTTTATAAATACAACATGTTGGGCTTATGCTAGCATATCAGATGAAAGTGAAGATACGAAATTCAAAAGCCAAGATGATCACATTTTATGTAAGAACACAGAAACTAAAAACCATACCATTTTAGAAGTCTTCCAAAGTAAAGACACACTTTCTTTCTTACGGCTTATTCATTTTTGAGGAGAGAGAGAGAGAGAGAGAGAGAGGCAGAGAGAAAGGGGGACAGAGGATCCGAAGGGGCCTGAGGGCTGACAGCAGTAAGGCAGATGTGGGGCTCGAACTCCTGAACCATGAGATCATGACCTGAGCCAAAGTTGGACGCTCAACTGACTGAGCCACCCAGGCGCCGGGAAGACACACTTTCTTAAGAATTAAGAGTAATTCATGGAAAGTACAAAAGTTATTCATACAATCTGAAACAGGGGTGAAATTGGTCACTGCGCTCTGCTTCCCAAAATATATTGCAACATCCTCCTCCGTAAAGCATATCCTCAAGAATCCCATCGTTATTTTTTAATGCCATGAAATAGTTGAACGGTTCTCCATCCAGGCTATCATTCCAGGATTCTGAGGTTTTAGGAAGAGTGGGGACAGCCACATTCAGAAGCAGAAGTGACTTTCACCAGCTTATCCCCAACCAATGTCTCAAGCCAAGCATACTTGATACAGCAGCTCTCTGAAAACGCACAGCAGGAAAACGCTACCGTCATTCCCACAGATGATCTGATATTTACCTTCAGGAAGATTGTCCAAGGGTCACAGGAGAATTATCTTAGGAATTCAGCCAGGGTTTGATGGTAGGATAAATGGGCGTCTAGAGAATTTGAAAGTGATAAGAGGCCCACACAGAGGTTCCTCCTTGCCCCCTCCCCTTCCCCACCCCCTGGGAACTTCATTCCACTCACCTGAATGCGTCTGGCACTGGGAAGACAGGTTTGGGCTGGCGTAATTTATTGAGCACTTAAAAACGCGGCGGTCCTCGCGCTAATGACTTTGTTCATTTAACCCTCTCTTCTAAAGAGATTCATGGTATTATTCTCAGTTTGTTGATGAAGGTTCTGAGTGCAAAAAATCACTTAAAGGGCCCTGGGTCTCAAAGGCTGGTAAGCGGTGGAACCGGATATAAACGCAGGGGGCTGGCTCCGGGCCCCCCTCTGAGCCACTGGGCTTTGCCGCAATTCAGGAGCCTTCTGCATACAAATGGTGATTGATAAGGAGACTGAATCATTTGTTTCCGTCCGAAGTGGGACTTTTTTATGGTGGGGGGAGGGGTGCTGTTAGTAACTGCGCTGGGAAAACAGGGGGTCAGCCCCAACAGTTTGGGGCAAATAGAGAAGTGTGATCACCTTTCGACTGATGCCGAGAGAGTGGATGGATTTACCCAGGCAAAGAATGTTCAAGAAAAGAAGAGAGGAGCCGATTAGGAGGTCTTGGGAAAGACCAACAGTTGAGGAACTGCCCGAGAAAGAGAAACTCACACAGGATCCTGGGGGGGGGGGGGGGGGGGGGGGGGGGAGGTGAGCCGGGATACCACGGTGTCCGCCTCGGGCAGTTTTCCGCAGAGAGTAACCTGGGGCCCCCAAGACCCCAGGAGCTGGGGATGCTTTGGGTGATAAGGACCACGAGGTGGCCATTGCTGGAACGGCCGGGAAATCACTGGTGATTTACTCACCAACATTTCTTCAGCTTGGTGGAGCCGGAAGCCAAATTAAAGCAACAGGAGGAGTGAGTGGGAGGTGAGGACCCAGACACAACCAGTGCAAATAACTCGTTTTGAAAGTGGCCTTGGAGGGGAAGCAAAAGATAGGACTGTCCTGGAGGTGGAGTCAAAGAAGTTTCCTTTCTTTTTTAAAGCAAGAAACTAGAATGTGTTTAGTGCTTGAAGAAAGGAACCGGCCCCAGGAGAGAGAAGAAAAAGTAGAGTGCATAATTATCCCCTCTCCAGGGGACATCGTGGAGCAAAGTTCCTGAGCCGCCAGAGCTGAGGAATTACCTTTACCACCTGAGCAGGTACAACTGTGCTTCTGCCGGGGGGGGGGGGGGGGGGGGGGGGGGGGCAGCTGGAAGGCTTAATGCCGGGGATGGGAGCGAGGTGCTGTCTGCGGGCTCGTTTTTCTCTGGAGTCCCCGCGGGGTGGGGTGGTTGTGGTTGAAAGCTGCCTAATGCGCCAGGCACTGGACTAGGCCCTTGTTGGACAGTGACCCGGATCTCTTTTCATCCTCACTGTTGGCCAGTGAGGGAGGTGATCTGCCTCACTTTGACCGCAGAGGAGAGACGGTGGCTCAGAGCAGTAGGCAGCCAGCCCAAGAGCACACAGCTGTTTGGGGGCAGAGTCCTCTCTGACTTGAGTGCCTCCTAGAAGTGAAAGCTGGCTCACTGCCTTTCCCTTATCTTTCAGTCTCAGAGGAGGAATTGATAGGAAGTTAGCGAATGTAGTTTAAATGATGATTTGAGACCAGAATGTGGAAGCCTGTCATAGACTGTACATGATTGGAAATCATATTTTTTATATGAATTGCTTTGATATTTTTACCCTACGTGATCCTTTCGTAAAACAGGAGTTGTTTCTTTTTTTTATGGGGCTATTTGAATAAAAGCTCCATAGGTTATCTTTGTTTTTATAGAAGTCACCTGCTTTTATAAAGGTAGTACGAAGCCACCCTTCATTTGTAAAGGATGTGGTCTGCATTTCTTTCTAAAGTCCATAAGAAAATTTTATATTACGGATTTTTACAACGTGGTCATTTTCACACTCTTAAAGTGTGTGAAATTCTCCCGTGGACACTTTATTGCAAGAGAATCCCAAATTTAAGATGGTGGCCCCGGAGGGATGGTACTGATGCAAATTGATTATGTCTGTAGTGATTCCTGCCTGCCTCCACAAGGACACCTTGCAGTTCCATGGAACCCACTTTGAAGATCACTTATTCTAGGTTTCAGTTTTCCATTTCCATCACGTGTGTTTGAGATTTTAGATGTTTGGTGTATAAGGGTTCCCTGAATAGCCAAGTAATAAATATGGGCCATACGGGGATAGGGTATAGAGGAACCTTGAGAGTAGTTGAGGGATGAGTCAAATTTGCAGAATGACACTGTCACAGCCTCCAGATAGACACAGATGTTCTCTAATTTGTAGTGAATTAGTTAATGGGCTGCAGAGCTGAGACCTATTTTAGAGGGGAAGTTACTTGGACTGGGGGATTAGAATCCAACTTTCCAGAGGCTTAGATTTGCAACAAATTTGCACTATTTACCATAGTAAATTAGGTACCATAGTATTTCACAGTATTTTATGTATTTTTTTTTAATTTGCTCTTAAAACCACTCTTAAAAATAGTAGGCCTGCATCATTTCCCCCTTTTCTGTGTTATGTGGAAGAGTGTGTGTTAACTGATTTTAGGGGAATCTTTTGGGAATTGGCAATCCTCAGGCCATTCATTAAGCTTTCCTAAAGAGAAGTTTGAATTGTTTGTTTTTCTTTTTACAAAACGTTATATGACAGGCAATTTAATTTTTGACAAATTTAAATCCCACTTAGAAAACTCAGCAAATGCCAAGACACGGAGGTGAATTTGTGAAAAATAATAATCTTACTTGTGCTATCTATTCCGTTTAAATAAATGTAGGGGGATCTTGCAAAGTTCCAAACATTGATTTGATTACCAAACACGCAGCTAGAAGAAAATGAACTATTTATATTCCCAACATAAAATTGCATTAAGATGGTAAGTCTTATGCAAGAAATTTTTTAACTAGTTGCAAGTACTTCCTACAACTAATCAAAACAACATCCTCATTGTTAGTTTTTCCTCTGATTTAAGACTTCTCTGCAGGAGCAACTGATCTCTATCTGTGTCTGTCTTCCTGTAACTAAAGTTCAATAAGAAAAGAAAAGAAATTAACCTAATTTCTACAACACATTGATTAATGGAAAACAAATGTTACGTGTTTGGCTTGTGATAGTTACACAAGCAATAGTCAATGATTTATAAGTCATGGTGCTTATGAAGCTATTAAAAATTAATTACCCCCAAACAGAGAAATCTAAGCAAAATACTTGAAAGTAATTTATTGCAGTAGTAGCCATTATCAATGCATATTTCTGTAACAGTGTTACTCAGCATCCAAATAGAAAGCATGCAGCTAGCAGCGCCTGGGTGGCTCAGTCGGTTAAGTGTCTGACTTCAGCTCAGGTCATGATCTCATGGTTGTGGGTTTGAGCCCCGCATTGCGCTCTGTGCTGACAGCTTGGAGCCTGCTTCAAATGTCTCTTCCCTTGCTCTGCCCCTCCCCCGCTCATGCTCTGTCTGTCTCAAAAATAAATAAACATTTTAAAAATTGGAAAAAAAAAAAGAAAGAAAGCACGGAACTAACTTATGATTTGAGGAATCATCATCAAACTTTTTAAAAAAAAAAAAGTTTCAATTTGACGTTGGAATCACAGATTGCAATGATCACCCAAATACCTCCTCCCTCCGTCCCTCCTGACTCTTCCCTCTGGCTTTAGTGCTTCATTTACATATCCCACCGTAGCCTTCTCGAATATTTGCTTTTCTGTGTCCATTTCCTTTCTACTGCCTTTTTATACCTAGTCCTTCCACGTAGCACAATATAATTGGTTTTCAATGCCCTTTACTGAATGAATGAATGAATCACTGTATCTATAAAACAGCTACCAAAATGAATAAGTTGAGCAAATTTGAAGCAAAGAAAGAAGCCTAGGCTAAAAAGCCCCAAAATCTGTTTTCAAAGCCCCTTTTCATTTTTTATAAATAAAAAGCAGTGAAATTGGAACTTACCGGTCTTTTTTTTTTTTTTTTTTTAGAACAGAGAAGATTTAACTCTCAATTATTCTTCTTTCACTGCCTTCCCGCCCCCCTCAGAAGTCATTTTGTTTTTGTTAGGTTTTGTTTTTAATGCTTGGTATCTTAGTTTAAATGATTCTTCCCACAGCGATAGTCCTAAGGGTGTCTGATTACTAATCCTGTTACAGTGGTGGTGTTCTTTATCAAAAATTTCATGAATTTCCTTTCAGTTTACCTTCTGACGAGATGCTCTTTCCCAGTCATTTCCTCCTCCCTTCTTTTCCACGGTCTGATCTGCTCCCAGGTTCCACTGCAGAAGGACAATGAGAAATTCCTAAGGAGACATTTTTGCCCCGTTTGCATTTGGGGGTGGGTTAAGTTCACTGGTGGGGACAGAGGGCAGCCATGATTCCTCAAACACTGACAGGCCTGGGAGTCTGCAGAATTTTGTTTTGGTTGTTCTAAAATCCAGGTTATTTCATTTTCGCACGTCTCTTGCTTGAGATCAAGGGATGGGATAAAATATGCATACTCTCACTCAGCCCTCTCTCCATCCCCTGAGTACACGTAAACCATCTTTTGCTGGGCAGGCAAAGGAAAGAGTTGCCTGCCTGCCCGTGCAGACCTACCAAAGCACTCTTCTCTCTTGTCTTCAAATATCTCCGTGACATGGGCCAGCTCGTGTATTCAGACCAGCCCGCAGGGCATTCTGTTGTAAAGGATGTCTCCTACGGAGACAGACTTTGGCGTCCATGGCTTTAAATTTTAGCTCCAGCACCTCAATATCCTTCCCTGTAAAATGGAAATAATAAAAATTACCTCATAAATAGGATTACATTTGTTAAATGACTGGCCTCCAGTAGCCATTCAACAAATAGGAATTTTGCTTTACTCAAAATCTTTCACTTAGGTCATATCATTTGCTCTTCACAGAACCCTGCTGGGCAAACAGCACAAATGCTGTAAGCACCCCCCACCCCACCTTTTCACAGATGATTAACTGGGTGTTTTGAAACTTGCTCAGTAATAATAATAATAACAATGAACTTTTATTCTGCTTACTACTTGTCAAGATTGTTTCAACCATTCATTTTACATTTAGTCCTCACAACAAATCTATGGAGTGAGGGCTAAAAGTCCCATTTTACAGATGAGGAACATTAAGGCAGAGAAAGGCTGCATAATTGCCCAAGGACAAAGAGCTGGCAAATTGAATAGTGGGAATTCACACCCTAGTAGTGTTGCTCCAAAAGAAGTGCTTTTCACCAGTATACGTCATGTCTCTATTTCCCACGGTTTTTAAGTAGTGGGTTGGACTCCCATCTGTGAGTCCAAATCTAGAGCACTCTTCCCCCTCGGAGAAGGAATGCATTAGGGCCAGTAAACAAAGGACCCCCGTGGGGAGAGCTCCAAGTTGTCAGATCTGCCAGCCGCAGGGAGAGAACTCTAATGGAGGATGGTGTTCCATATGCTAGGGGGCTGGGCACGCAGTAGGACCAGAGAGCCAGCCCAGAGAAGGCACACACAGCAGAGCAGTATGAGAACCCGTATGAGAACCCGAGAAAGCCTGGCAGGAGGTGCTCCCTTCACTTTGCCCTTTAGAGGCGGGGGTCTAGGGTAGAGAATACTGTTTGTTCACAGAGACCCTGAAGGTCCACAGCACCTGTTCATTCCCTGGCACTTAGCACTCTTTGTATTGCAGTTAGCAGTGACTATTTCTGATCTGCTCCTGAAGGGTATGACCAGATTTTACACATTTTTCTATCCCCCACTTGGAGCTCATAGTAGGTACTTAACAAGTGTGAGCTGGAAGAATAAATGATCGCAGACAAAGGAACATGCATGAGCCCCAAATGGATTTGGAGTTTGCCTTATGTTTTATTTTCATGCACGGCAGCGACCTAAATCCAATTTTTAAGCTTTTTTTTTTCTGATAGCGAAAACATTTAAATGAAGATTCTTTGGGGACACATAAGCCGATATTTTCAACTATTCTTTTAGGGCAACTCTTATATTGTACCCATTTTCATGTTTTTATGTGTGCCCTTCACCCATTTAAAACCACAAATAGTATAACTTTTAAAAACTGAATGTGTAATTTAATAATATCTACCCACACCTACTAAAATGCTTCCTAATGCATAAAAGCCTACGAATATCAAGCCGCAGTAGATTTTATCAGCTTCTGTGTAAGTGTATGAAGTGAACGCCGTGTTCCTCTCCATCTGAGATTTGTCAGTAATACTGATGTGTGTTTCTACCTTGTATCCATTAATGGATATGGTTGTAAATGGCAGCTTTAAAATAAACACAAAATGAAGTTTTGAAGATGAATTTCACAACTCTTAACATTTTATTCAATGTGCTGAGGAGGAAAAATTCTTCCTGTACCCTCTTAGGTTCGGTATCTGGGGCCCCATGAATTAAACAAAGACAGATTAAAAGGAGAAAAAGCACACCATTTTTGTTAGTACTTATACACACCAGAGTTCACCAGAAAGAAATGAAACTCAAAGAAGCAGATTCAGGGGCTGACGTATCATTTTAACAAAGGCAAAGGGGCTTGGGCTTCATGGGATGATGAATTGTGGGCAAGAACTCAGAAATATATAAGGAGCTAATGGAAAATCGGGGCTATTTTAGTAAAGTCTCTTTACACAAACTCATCTTGGTGTTGACAGCTCCCTGTCTTCTTCCTTGACTCTTCTCTCCCTGGTGGGGGAAGGATCACTTGTGCCAAAGGGAAATTTACACACTGCTTTTAAAGCAAATAAGGGAAGTACCAGAACACTTCCTGTGTCTGTTGATTCTTAGTTGCCTTCAGCTCAACATAATCCTTAGGCCAAAATGGCATCCTTGGGGATGACGTATTCTGATCTGCTTCCTACAGAAGGTAAAGAATATTACAGCTGACACGTGTGAATTATTTCCAATGTTACTGCTGTAAGGCCACAAGTCTAAACGTCTAAACCAAACTGACTCCATGACCGGCTCTAAATTTCCCCTCTAAACTAGAAGGCTTGAGTTTCAGCTTCCCCGAAACTATCAAGTAGTTACACATTGCCCAAGGCAGGAGTAACCACCCTTGCAACACCCAATCAGGAAAGGCCAGCGACCACCCTCCACATTGTTAAGGGAGAGGCCTGGAGCTAGAAACTATGGATAGGACCCTGTTACCTGATGTTAAAGTTAACCCCTTAGTCACCAAGTAAACCCTAGGCTCGCTCTGTGATTGGTTCAATTTAAAGGTACTGTAAGTGTTGTAATTGGATCCCGCCAAAAGTAACGAATACTCTAGACAATGTGTATGGTCAAACCCGCTGTCAATGATGTTGAATAATTATGATTGGATCACTGTTCTCATGTCACAACTTCTGTAACTCCCCCGTCTCAAACCCCATAAAAACCCTACTCTGCCCTTGTTCGGGGCTCTCAGCACGGATTCATTGCGTTGGTGAAGTCTGGGAGCCCGAGCTTAAGCCTGTAATAAAGCCCTTTGCCTTTGCATACGTGACTCGGAAGCCTTGGTGGTCTTGGGATTTTGGGGAGATCGCGATCTGGGCATAACAATTGCCTTTTTCACAAGTCCTATTCAAAAACAAACAAAACAAAACAAAACCCAGCAGCTTCCTTGTTAAAGAAATCTGGGTTTATATGTTTTCTGACCTGGCACACGTACTTTTCCTTTCTGTTGTTTGTTGCACTCCATTGAGTTCTTTTTAAATTATTAAAAGTAACATACAATTATATAAAGTATACTTAAAAAAAGGGGAGAAGACAAGTCATCCGCAATCCTACTTTTCTATTACAAATTATGTTTTTGCATACTTTCTTTCAGTGTTATCTATTTGTATAGTTGCAGTGACGCAGGGCACCCATGCAACTTCAGACTTAACATATCACAACATGCTCTGTGCTCTTGCTCGCTCACAGTCCTCATCAGTGAGCAGCTTCAGAGTTCGCCTCACTATTTTCTGGTCCTCCGACACCTGAGCTATCTTCCCAGTGGCAGTTTGACCTCTAGCCAGGGGCGGAGGTGGGGTTGGCCACTTCTGGACCAGTGGAACTTGGGGCTCCGAGAGCGGCCGCAGAGGCTCCCAGGTTAAAGTGAAGCCTGGCCCGGCAGCGCTTATGGCTCTGGGCTCCCTTCTTGCTCTCTTCCTGGTGCCAGGCTTCAGGAAGTAGACTTCCCAGGCCACTCCTCCATCCCCTTCCCTGAGTCCTGCCGCAGAGGGCCTGCCCAGAGTGGGTCCCTCCCAGCCACTCTCCCTTTCTGTCCTAGCAATCTGAAGACCTACTGCGCATAGAGGAAAGACCTGGGCAGCGCACCCTGGGCGTCATGGCCTGCCTGCTGGCCTCCGAAGTGCAGCAGCTGCTCCACAACAAGTTCGTGGTCATCCTGGGAGACTCTGTCCACAGGGCCGTGTACAAGGACCTGGTGCTCCTGCTGCAGAAGGACCTCCTACTCACTCCCACGCAGCTCAAGGCCAAGGGGGAAGAGAGCTTTGAACAGGACAAGCTGGTGGACGGAGGCCAGCGGGGCCCCATGCACAACGGCACCCAGTACCGGGAGGTCCGCCAGTTCTGCTCCGGCCACCACCTGGTGCGCTTCTACTTCCTCACCCGCGTGTACTCCAGCTACCTCAAGGCCATCCTGCAGGAGCTGCAGTCCAGCAAGCACGGCCCCCCGGATGTGATCATCATGAACTCCTGCCTCTGGGACCTGTCTAGGTACGGTCCCGACTCCTGGAAGAGCTACCTGGAGAACCTGGAGAGCCTGTTCGAACACCTGGGCCAGGTTCTGCCCGAGTCATGCCTCCTGGTGTGGAACACAGCCATGCCCGTGGGCAAGCAGATCACTGCGGGCTTCCTCCCGCCGGAGCACAGGCCCGGCGATGCCTCGCTGAGAGAAACAGTCATTGCAGCCAACTTCCACAGCTCTGTGGAAGCGAAGAAACACGGCTTCGACGTGCTGGACTTGCACTTCCACTTCCGCCACGCGGGGCGCCACCTGCAGCGCGACGGAGTGCACTGGGACGAGCGCGCGCACCGCCACCTCTCCCAGCTGCTGCTGGCCCACGTGGCCGACGCCTGGGGCGTGGATCTGCCCCAGCGGAACCCAGTGCCTCCCTCCATCCGGGTTGGCCCCGCGAGGACCAGACCTGGCCGGGGAATTGAGAGACGACCCCAGGCCAGCCCAGGTCCACCTGCCTTGGCTCCTTCTGGGTACCGCCCCCTGCTCCCACTTCAGCATGCACCCCGGCCCCCACCTCCCCGCCTGCCCATGGCCCTACATCCTCGTCCCTTTCCCGTTCAGGTGATGAGCCGGTTCCTATTCTGTCCCCGAGGTAACTCTCTTGCTTCAGACCCCCCTTTCCAGTCCGATCAGTTCTCCTCAAACGATTTCCATTCAGATGTCCCCTCACCTACCCAGACAGGATTCTCCTTTGAAGATGATACCCAGCCACCTATGCCCCCTTTCCACACACCCTACCAGCAGCGGCCCCCTGTGGTTCATAGGGGTTTCCCCCGGTATGTACCTCCTGGCCCTTATGGGCCCTGGGGTCGTCGGCCCAGATCTTCCAAGAGATGGGCCCCATCCCACCCACACCCCAGGCCTCAGTAAACTGACTTGGGGGCCTTTCTCCTCATCATGGACATGGACTGGGCAGATCATCTGACTCTCCCGAAACAGACTGACCTTGTTAACAGAAGCCTTTGGTCCCTGCTTGGACTTCTTTTTGGTCATTGCTGTTACTAATAAAAGCAGGGAAGAGCAGTCTCAACCATTTTTGTTGGCTGATGGCCTTTTCCTCCAGTCTCTGGCAGTGACCACGCATTATTCTGCCTCTCCACTCCTTGCCCTCTTTGTGTTTTTGTAAACATAACATTGAAATAAAGAAGTAGTTTCACAAAAGTAGTTGTAGGTTTTGTGTGTTTTTATGTAATGGAGCCTCTCCCTTCCATTAAACAATTAGCTTCTTGAAAAACAAGGACAGTATCCGTTGACTGAGTGTTTCTGGCATCTACTTGACAAACTGCTCAAAGTGGAATTTGTCTACAATCATTCTGAAGGTTTCATTAAAATAGACCTGATTCCTTACAAAGTAACAGAAGAACTTTAACTTTCTGTGATCATATTTTTCCAGAGATTCTCAAAAGAATCATTGCGTTTTAAAACAGAGAAGACTGAATATACAACATTTAACTAACACAAACAAGGTAACTGAAACCAAACGTGGTGAGTGGCTTGTTCTAGGTCACACAAGAGCCCTCATCCACTAGTCTTTCCAACTTTAGCCTATAACTTTCAAACCACAGGACTGATTCATACCAAGTAATATCAAACCAAGGACAGTTTACCAAACAAGCTCTTTCTATGAACATGATGGTGAAAACCCTTACAGGTGCTTAACTCCATAAGCTCATTGGTTAAGTGTGCAATGAATTACGTACGTAAACTACAGTTGATGGCATGTTTGTGACTTTATGATTTTTTGAATAGCCTTGAGTTTTGGACTTGAGAAAGTTAGAAAAAAGTAAGTTGCACTCAATGGCAATGTCTATCACCATCATAGAATAAAACTACAGTTGGAAGGGAACAGCCAGGGCACGACTCGGACAGATGGCCGTGGCCATTTCTTCTCTGTTTTGTGGGAATGTTAACATCACCAAGACTTTATCTTTAGGCCCCTTATCACCCTAGACTAGTGAAGTGTTAGCACTTTGGTGAAATAGAACAGGACAGGACGAACATGGAATGATAGATTATTTCATTGGATTGAGTTGACAGGTTTATGAACCCTCACTTGGATCATTCCTGAACTTGACAAGTTCAAGTATCAAGAAATGTTATCCCGAGAAAAATGAAATTTGGGAAACCACAAAAAATTGATGAGATTAGCTCTCCATAGAAGAAATACACAGCAGCTTTTAATCTACTGAAAATACATAAAATCCATGAAGAATAAGACCTTCATCTTACTTACCTTTGTGTCTTAAATCCTAGTGCAATGTATAGCACTTAGTAAGTACTGAATAATGTTTCTTAAATAAATTAGGGAGTGAATGAAGAGGGGGTGTATAAGTGAGACTCACCCAAGTCTCAGACGTTTAATCATCATAGCACATCTGAAGGAATATTGTTAAAGCAAGCATGATGAAATGTTCAAGGTGGTACCTGCATGTCAGAATTTGCCAAAACATAACCAGCAAACACAGGAGAGAGAGCACCTGTCCAACCAATGTACGTGTTCTAATCCCATGGAGGAGATTAATGCACCAGGCTGTAAGATTTGGTAAAATTAGCCATCAAGATGAGTCAGTTGCCTTCTGGCTTTACATTTCCCAAGCAAGACAAAGTAACGCTTAGGGGCTGATCTGAATAAGCTGACTCATTTAGTATTTATGTTTCCATGAATAAACAAACAAATCAGTGATGTGTTTTATCTCTCTTATGAGTCAGGTCAGTGTGGATTATTCCTCTTTAATCTGATCACACCTGACAAGGCAGGGAGAATGAATTCTTACGTATACAGGGCTGAGGACCAGACACTGTATCTGCTATAGTATGATATGGATTAAAATGCACCGATCACTTAATGGCCCTGTTTCTCTCGGAAGGGTAGGAGTGCAGGTAGACTTAAGCAGGGATGATCTTTTCCTGCCCAAGTGTATTAATTTCCTGGGGCTGCTGTAATGAAAATCACAAACTCAGTGACTTAAAACAGCACATACTTATTCTTTTAACAGTTTAGGAGCTCAAAAGTCCAAACAAAATCTATATGGGGTCCCCTGCCATCCTACAGGATCAGGCCTCTGTCTATCCCTGCAATGTCATCTTCTGGAACTTTCTTCTTTGTTGCTCATGCTTTCAACCACATAGGGCCTTTCATAAGTTGGGTCTTTGCTCTTGCTCTTCCCTTTGCCTAGAATATTACGTATCCCCCACCCCTGGTTTCTTTGCATATCTAACTCTTCATCCTTCCATCCATACTTTCCAAGTCACTTCCAAAGGGCTTCGAGGATCATTTCATCTAAAAGTACTGTTATGATCTATCCTGGTGCTCATTCTCTCCTTGAATTGCCTACCCCACTCAGCAGTGGCTTCGGTAATTGCCTGTGTGTTAGCCACTCCCATTAGAAAGTAAGCTCTGTTAAGTCTTGTTCACTATTGAATTCCCAATGTTTAGTAGCACAGTGCCTGGCAAGGAAGGTGTTCAAGTGTATTTATTTTATTTATTTATTTATTTTTCTTTTATTTTTTTTTTTTACAAATAGTTTATTAGTGTATTTATTTTAGACAAATGTTCAAGGACAAAATTAATTCACATTGTATACTCATGAGAATGCAACTTATATTAAAATTGAGCTGCATTTGACCACTTTTCTTTAGAAATTGTCTAGGCAGCTCTTTCTGCCCACAGGTCCTGTCCCTGTGCTTTAACAAAATCACCTTTTTGGGGAGCGTCTGGGTGGCTCAGTTGAGTGTCTGACTTCCAGGCAGGTCATGATCTCCCGGTTCACAAGTTCAAGCCCCGCCATTGGGCTCTGTGCTGACAGCTTAGAGCCTGGAGTCTGCTTCAGATTCTGTGTCTCCCTCTCTCTCTGCTCTATCCCCAGCTCGTGCTCTGTCTCTCTCTCTCAAAAATAAATAAAAACATTAAAATAAATAAATAAAGTCTATAGAATTCTACCATAACTTTATCTGAGTCATCCCGGGTGGCTAACACCCTTGAACTTCTTCACTCCCATGGGATTAGCCTGACAGCACCTTCAGTGCTAATTCCATATATAACCTGGCCTTTATCTTTCAGCCCCAAGCTTTCTTCTTTGCCCATTTTTACTATTGCTACCTTGCTCCTTAAGTCAAGAAACCTAACAGTGCAATCAAGCCATTGTCTGAAAAGAAGAGCCTAAATTATTCAACGGTTATGAGAGAAATTATTGTTTTATTGTTAAGACTTAACAATGCAGGGTTCATTCAGCCTGGCCTGCAACCTCAAGAAATAACAGCGCTCAAAGCTTTTTATACTTGACTCTTGTCTTCTGGAAAAAGAAAAAAAGTAAAACAGATGATTAAATTAACATTATACAAGCAGCGTATGATTCTCACCTTATTCTAGAATAAGATATACTGTTATAGCAAAGGCCAAAACTTCAAAGCTATAACTATATTTCCATAAGCACAGTGTAAGGCCCAGCATCTGAAATCAAATGGAATCTTGTATCCTTTCATAGGATGGGGATCAGCCCCCTGTCTCCTGACCAGCCACAAAGCTTTTATTTCCAGGGTCCCTCCTGCATTACATGTTACTTCCTATGAACTGCATGCAGCTGCAGTTCCATCTCTGACAGTTTTATGTTCATATATTCTGCAAAGGTAAGTTATTTGGAAAACGTGGATCATTAAGGTTCATAGCGAAAGGATTTGCCATTATTTTAAACTATTGTATGCTTGTCTTTAAAACTCTAGGATCAAAATCTCATTCCTACCACTGTTTTAAAGAAGGCCTCTTGTCATTGCATCCTTAATTCACAGTACAGTTTTTCAAAAGACTTCACCCATTAAACTTGAAAGAAAGCTTTCCTAAAACATATCTCTCTGACCATAATCTTTAGGCGAGGATGCTTGTAAGGATTTGTTCTGTAATTGCCCCATGCAGAAGTTCACAATGACTTAATGGATTAGAGGCTTTGAGAAGTTCTGCATGAAATGAACTTGATTAAACATGTTCAACTTAGTAGTTTCCAGATTTATTCAACCACAGACCATTTTCATATGTATTATCTCCTAAAAACATGTTTTGGGAAATACTGTTCTAGAGAATGCCGCATAAAATAGTTGGTATAAATGAAAAGAAGTCTTGTTAGTGATATTTTACATACGGAGCCCTGTTTCAATGGAGCATTATAATAATCTGTGCCCAGGTATGAGCTAATATTCATTAGGTAGGCCTGTGACAAGTCTGAGATTGGTTAGTTAAGCGAAGTGAGATGAAATGGACCGGGAATGACGGCCTTCATCTTGCTGTAAGGTGGGAGCCTGCGGTGAGAATGGGGCTGTGTGGCCAGTCCAGCCTGCAGAGTGAGGCGCGCAGTGGAGGTAATAGTCATTCAACACAGCACCCTCTGTCAGCACTTAACAACACGGTTAGGAGCAGACCCCAGATCTCTAAGAAAGCCTTTCTTTGAAGAGTGAGAGAACCCACAGACGCTGCTGTGGCAGAGCCATACAACACCCTCCTCCCCCCATAAAGAAGACACACCAGCAGGCCATGTGGTCTGTGACATGGAGTCTGGCCCCGGTTCCCCTCCATTGTTCTGCAGGGATGCCTCTCAGACCTGGGTGGTACCTGGATTCTCATCTTCCTACTCCCATGTCTAGTCACATGGACTAATTCTTATATTTCATCTCAGTAATTCTATCACTGCCAGATGGATCCTTCCCTACCACTCATTCGTCCCTAACCACACATTATCCTGGTTCTCAAACTTTATTTGGAGAGCTCATGAAAACACCACTGCTGTCATCTCCCTGGCATAGTGGAGCCCTAAAATCTACATTTCTAGTAAGTTCCACATTTGGAAAACCACCAAAGAAACAAAAAATGTAGAAAGAAGTATGCAATCCCACTTATGAAACCATAACCTAAATTTATAACCGTTGTTAACGTTTTGTTGTATTTTATTTTTCTGCTGAAGTATTTTAAAGTAAGTTCCTTCCTAATATTTCATCCCTAAATATTTCATATGTGGGAAAGAAGGACATTTTCCTACATAACCGTAATATTACATCTAACAAAGCTGACAATAATTTGCTGATATCATGTGATACTGTTAGGGACTGAATGTGTCCCCCCACCCCTCCAATTCACATGCTGAAACCCTATCCCCTACTGTGATAGCATAGGAGGTAGG